CGCACCGGCCTCGCCTCCGTAGCCTCTGCACTTGTCTCCCATTAAGGTCCCCGCCATGGGGGGGCGGAAGCGGGAGCGCAAGGCCGCCGTGGAGGAGGACAGCTCCGTGTCGGAGCGCGACGGGCCCCGCCAGCCCGAGGGGGACGAGGAGGAGAGCGCAGCCCTCAGCATCAACGAGGAGATGCAGCGAATGCTCAACCAGCTGTGAGTCCAGCTGGGCGTCCCCCCGCAGCCCGTGGAGCAGGAGCAGGGCCCGCCCTCCCTGACAGCGGGTTCCTGTCTCTAGGAGGGAGTATGATTTTGAGGACGACTGTGACAGCCTGACTTGGGAGGAGACTGAGGAGACCCTGCTGCTGTGGGAGGATTTCTCAGGCTATGCCATGGCGGCTGCGGAGGCCCAGGGAGAGGTAACCTGCCCTCCCGCCTCAGGGCCCCGGCTCCGCCTCCAGCCTGCCGCCCCGCCCCCTCCGCCGCCTCGCTCTGTCCCCCGTGTGGCCGTCGTCGTCCGCTCGTCTCCCCTCTTCCTCGTCCTGTGGCCCCTCGTCCGTGGCCTCTCGTCCCTCGCCGCGTCTTTAACGGGCCTTTCTCTCTCTCCCGCCTTGGCCCTGTGGACGCGCCCTCCCGCCCTCCCTGGCTGGCCTCCCCTCTGCCCTGTCCTCGGCAGCAGCAAGAAGACAGTCTGGAGAAGGTGATTAAGGACACCGAGTCCCTGTTCAAGACCCGGGAGAAGGAGTATCAGGAGACCATCGACCAGATAGAGGTAAGGGTGCGAGTGCAGCCGGGCATCCCCCGGGGGCCATGAGTGGGCTGCAGGCTCAGCGGCCCCTGGGACCGAGCGGCCAGCGCCTTTCCCCTTCTTGTTCCAGGCAGCCGTGACCCCTCAGCTGCGGTCGCTCTCAGGCTCTGGAAAGGGGCAGAGGCGGGTTAAAGCCCAGCTCTGTCGCTGCCACCCACTTGTTAGCTTGGAGCACGCTCCTTGTCCTCTGCGCCTGGTTCTTTACTTGTAATTTGGGGAACCTGACAATACCTCCCCCATGGGTTGTTTAAAGCATCAGTTGCCAACCTTTCTGGCATCAGGGACTGGCTTCATGGAAGACAATTTTTCCACGGACCAGGGCAATGGTTCCAGGATGATTCAAGCACAGAACGTTTATTGTTCGCTTTATTGTTATTACATTGAAGTATAAATGAAATAATTACACAACCCGCCATAAAAAAAGGAGGTGCGGACAGAAGTGGTTAAGTAATGGGCAGGCCACACGTGGACTGAAGCAAGTGGCGGATTCTGACGTGCAGCCTGCCACCGGATGCAGCTGTGCAAGTGAAAGGCAGCAGCTCGCCTGCCGTCACCGACAGGGCTCAGAAGTGAGCTGCCAGCAGCTGGTTAAGGAGGCCCCTGTGCCGTCAAACCCCACTGCTTGCGTTCGTCTGCGTCTGCAGCCGCTCCCCAGCGCTCGCTTCGCCACCTCCGCTCGCTTCACATCATCAGGCGCGGGATTCTCCTCAGGAGCGTGACCTAGATCCCTGGTGTGCAGAGTTCACACAGGGCTCACGCTCCCGTGAGAATGTAACGCCGCTGCCGATCTGACAGAACGCGGAGCTCTGGCAGTGATGGGGGGTGATGGGGAGTGGCTGTAGATTCGGATGAACAGTGGTCTTTCTCTAAAAAACATATTACTGTCCTTTTTTTGCGTTGGAGTCTCCCTCTGTCGCCCAGACTGGAGTGCAGGGGCCGCTCCCGGCCACCGCAGCCTCGACCTGCTGAGCTCGGGCGATCCTTCCGCCTCAGCCTTCCGAGTAGCTGGAACTGCAGGCACGTGCCACTGTGCCCGGCTAGTTTTTTTATTTTTTGTAGAGATGAGGTCTTGTCAAGTTGCCCAGGCGGGTCTCAAACCCGCGGGCTCAGGCAATCCACTCACCTCAGCCTCCCAAGGAGTGGGATTACAGGCTGAGCCACTGAGCCCGGCTTACTGTCGTTTCTTGTATAGAGATGGGTCTCGCCATGTTGCCCAGGCTGGTCTCAACCTCCTGGGCTCAGGTAGTCCTTCTGCTTTGGCCTCCCAAAGTGCTGGGATTAAAGGTGTGAGCCACCATGCCCAGGTCTGGTCATTGTTGGGTTGCGATGAGTACTGTCAGTGCCACGGCACCCAGAGATGGACTCGAGCTTTCCTGCTTCTCTATCTCAGCCTTTGAGGTCATGGAGAAATCGTCATGCTTATTCCTGAGCCTCAAGGAGCCTTCTAGAAATGGCAGTGAAGCTGGTGCTTCAATGCAAAGTCTAGCCCTTTGGGGGCTGCAGGGCGGATTCGTGGAACCGTAGACTGGAGGAGGGTTGGGTGTGAGTCCCGAAAGCCATCCGGCCCTGATGCTGTGATGTGGGTGAGGCAGAGCGCCTTCTTCGACGCAGCCTCTCTTCCAGCCCAGGTAGCAGGCTCTAAGGTGGTCCCCCTTATCCCAGGGGACACATCCCTGGATGCCCAGGGCATGCCTGAAACCTCGGATAGCACTGAACCCAGCTGCTGTCAGTCAGAGCCGTTCTGTTCGTGTCTTCCGCCCACACATCTCATCCCTCTTCCGCCTCAGCCAAGTGCATGTCGTGCACCACAGACGTGACTTTTGTAGTTTGAGGTGTGGCAGCCAAACCAGCATGTTTCTGTTTCCTGCTTCGCAATTTCTTGGTGGAAGATTTGTCTTACTCTAGATCTTAGTAACCTCAGAATATTTCTTTTTTCTCTTTAATTAAGTAGAGAACTTTCACCTTTTCTTTTCTTTTCTTTTTTTTTTTTGAGTGGGAGTCTCCCTTGGTCGCCCAGACTGGAGTGCAGTGGCCGCTCCCAGCCACAGCAGCCTCGACCTGCTGGGCTCCAGCGATCCTTCCACCTCAGCCTTCCGAGTAGCTGGAACTACAGATGCGCACTACCATGCCTGGCTAATTTTTTTTTTTTTTAATTGTAGAGGCAAGGTTTCACCAAGTTGCCCAGGTGGGTCTCGAACCCGCAGGATCAGGCAATCCACTTGCCTCGGCCTCCCAAAGTGCTGGGATGACAGGCTGAGCCCCCAGCCCGGCAGAGAACTTTCACCTTTTCACCTAGAGGAAGCATTCTGCAGCTTCCTTTTGGCATCTCTGGGTTGCCAGCTCCGGGGTTGTCAGGAAGTAAAGTGAGGGTGACTTGAACACAAGCCCCGTGACACCATGACAGCTGATCTGATCCCCAGGAGGGCTCCTGGGTGACTGAAGGGTGGGTGGCACCCACAGCGAGGCGACAGAGAGCGAGAGCGTTCAGCCTGGGGGGCGGGGCCAAGGGAGGTCTCGTGAGGGCCCTCAGAGGCGCACACAATGTAAAACCCATGAATTGTTTCTTTCTGGAATTTACCGTTTAGTATGACCAAGGTTGACCACGGGTAACAAGTTGCAGAAAGTGAGCCAGTGACTGAGGGGGACTGCTGTACTCTGACCGCACTCACTGCTGTATTTTGAGGAGGAAGTTGGGAAATTGTTCTCCTGCACACTCCTGCTGACGCACATCCCACCGTCCTCGATGCGAAAGCTGTCTTGTTTTTGGTTTTGGCCAGGCAGATGGAGGTTGCTTTTGTCTGTTTGCTTTGTGTGGAGACGAGGTCTCACTCCGTGGCCTAGGCTGGGCTTGAGCTCCTGGGCTCGAGTGGTGCGCCTGCCTCGGCCTCCCGGACAGGGCGGGGGAGCCGACTTCCTCCTCTCTCCTGTTGGCCGGTCTGGCCGTCTCCTCCCTCCCGCCTGAGCCCTGCCTGCCCCTTTGGGATGGTGGATTTCAGGTCTGGCGTCGCCCCCTTTCCTTCCACCAAGCAAGGGCCGTGGGTCTCAGCCTGGCCGGCCCCTGACCCGGGGTGCCTCGTGCAAGCCAAGCCGTGACCCCGCCGGGAGGAAAGGCGCAGTCCAGCCGGAAGCCTGCCCCGAGGCATCTGCCAGTAGCATGACACGGGGGAGACGGCAGGGGCGCTGGCTGGCCGGTTTCTGGAGCGCCTGCGGTGCCCTTCTCTTTGTCTCGCAGCCTGTCTCTCACCCCCAAAGGAGGGGTCTCTCAGGGCCACTGAGCAGGAGCGGGCTGCTCCCCTTCCTGGATGGGAAAGCCCAGGCAAGAGTGGCGGGTGGGAGGGAGCGCGTCTTCCCCTTCTCCCTGGCTTTCATCTCCCCCTCTCCTCCCAGGCTCGCCCTGGCCCTGGGGCACATGGCCAGCCTGGAGCTTTTGAGGCTACCTCCGGACATGTGCAGGCTTGTCCTCGCTGCACGCCTGCTTTATGTATGTATGTATGTATGTGTGTGTATTTATTTGTTTTTGAGTTGGAGTCTCACTGTGTCGCCCAGGCTGGAGCACAGTGGCACCCTCACGGCCGCCTCAGCCTTCCACGTGGCTGGAACTACAGGTGTATACCACCATGCCCAGCTAATTTTTTGATTTGTTGTGGAAACGAGGTCTTGCCATTGCCCAGGCTGGTCTCAAACCCGTGGGCTCAGACAGTCCTCTCGCCTCTGCCTCCCAAAGTGCTGGGATTACAGACGAGGCACCACCACTTTGTTTTTGTTTTTGTTTTTTTGAGCGAGTCTCACCCTGTCACCCAGGCTGGAGGGCAGTGGCATGCTCACGGCCACCACAGCCTCGACCTGCTGGGCTCCGGGGATCCTTCTGCCTCAGCCTTCCGAGTAGCTGGAACTACAGGCGCGCACCACCACACCAGGCTACTTTTCTGATTTATTGTAGAGACGAGGCCTTGCCATTTTGCCCAGGCTGGTCTCAAACCCGTGGGCTCGGGCAGTCCTCTCGCCTCTGCCTCCCAAAGTGCTGGGACTACAGGCGTGAGGCAGCACGCCCGGCTTACACCACTGCTTTAAATGTCTGGCTCAAGGGCGGGTGGGGAGAGGTGCTGGGACCCGTGGTGGCGGTACTGGCCTGGTATTTTGATGGGGCATATTTGGTTCCTTCCCTCGTTGTCTGTTCCCTGAGTGATGGCTGCCAGAACCCAGCCTCCCTCCCTGGGGAAGTTGAGGCATACGGACAGCTGATCTGGACAGGAGCCAGAGCATCCGGCTTCTCCCTGGACTGAGCAGTCACCCTATCCTGCCCCTCTCGCGGCCACGGGACCCCAGTGTGCAGTCGAGCCTGCTGCGGGCGCTGAGTCCACTAGGGCTTCTGGCCTGCCCAGCTGTGCCTCACCCCAAGTCACCATCCTGGCCATCTCTTCTGTCTGGCGCTGTGGCCCGTTTCCTCCTTTTTTATTTTGAGTCGGAGTCTTGCTCTGTCGCCCAGGCTGGAGTGCAGCGGCCCCTCCCGGCCACCGCAGCCTCGACCGACTGGGCTTCGGGGATCCTTCCGCCTCAGCCTTCCGAGTAGCCGGAACTACAAGTGCATGCTTCCACGCCTGGCTAATTTTTTTTGTTTGTTTATTGTAGAGACGAGGTCTCGGCAAGTTGCCCAGGCGGGTCTTGAATCCGCGGGCTCAGGCCGTCCACTCGCCTCGGCCTCCCAAAGCACTGGGATGACCGGCTGAGCCGCTGAACCCGGCCCCAGTTCCTTCTTCAAGTTCCCATCCTCTTTCTGTCCAACTCTGATTCGTTACGGGTGGCTTACTTTCTGTCCAGTTCAGATTATTCACGGCAGTTTCCTCCCTTTCTCTTTGCTGTCAGGCAGTCACGCCGATCACCTCCAAGCAGTTTCATTCTGTCCCCGCTTCCGGCCCCTGTCCTTTGTTCCAGAAACAAAGCGAGGCAGGAGAGGCAGCAGACTGTCTCTGGCCCCAGTCTTGTGCTGCCCGGCCCACCTCGGCCCTGCTCGGGGCTTGGGCGACGGGATGGCCCTGGGAGGGAGGCCGGATGTCCTGCCTCCGAGCCCCGCATTCTGCACGTACAGCATTTCTGAAGGGAGGACACATCTTATCATCAGTAGCACATTCAGTATGGCAGTCTCTCAGTGTCTGCAAATGGCTGCTAAGTGAGAAAATAAAGTAAGCAGGAGAAAGTAGTAAGAGAATCAAGCCCCTCTCAGCAGCAAGCTGGGTTTCCTCCTGCTGGGGAGGTGACTTGTTCCTGTTGGGGCCCTCAGGGATAAGAGCCACTGTCAGCTCTTTTTTTTTTAAATGAGTTGGAATCTCACTCTGTA